TTTTTTTTCTTTGTTATCAGACTATTTGATAAAATGAAAAATATTTGTTGCTTTTTAAATCAACTCGATATTTTTCTTTTTTTCAAATATTTTATACGAGGATTATCATTGAATGAGAAATTCTCAAGGAGTGGAAGTCTTTATTGATTACTGCCGCCGCGGTGGCTCAGTCGGTAGAGCGTCAGTCTCATAATCTGAAGGTCGTGAGTTCGATCCTCACCCGGGGCATATATTTTTTTTAAATTCATTTCCGAAACATCAATGACATAAAAGTTGTCTTAACTTTCATATATAAAAAGTATGAGATAAGATTTCAAGTTATTTTTGTTTGTCATTACACATCTCATTCGTATTATAAACAAAATCATACCGTGGGTATCAATTTTCTTTAGAGAAATGTGTTTTTCAATCAAATCCTATTTCTATATATCTATTGTGTATAACTTCATGAGCGCTTCTTGAACATTATATTTTCTTTAGACTTATTATCTCTTCTATAAGCATTTGTCTAACATAATACTTTCTGATATCAGAGACTGTGAAAGTGGGAAGAGGATGGGGCAGAGTTGTAACCGGTCCGATCTTTACCGTTTGGAAAAACCTTTTGTAGATGTACTATTTTTCTTAGATAAAGATTGTTGAGAGCGAGTTTTGTTGCTCTTATCAAAATGATCACACAGTGTTGTTTCAAGAACTTTTAATTTTCTTTTCTCCTGTTCGTCCATACTATTTTATTTCTTTAACCCTTTGAGGACGGTGGGACATACATTGTCCTACCTCCTTTCCAGCACAGAGGAAAATGCTTATTCAGCATAAAAGCATATGAGTTCAATTGAATAGTCTCTCTGCTCTAAAGTCTAGCGGCTAAAAACTGCATTCTAACGAGAAGTGTTCTATACCAGACTTGTATCTAGAATAAGAACATTGTTGGATCCGATACGACAATAAAAAGTGTCTTGTAGTCGGTAATCTCGTATGGAATCCTATAAAGTTCCTCTGCTAGATGCAGGTTTGGATGAAAACACCTATTTGCATTCTAGACTACATTAGAGGTCTCTTTAATAAAAATACTCACTTAGAGTTATCACAATGTAGTCTTCATTTTCCTAATTCAATGCTTTTATCAATATGAAGAAAAAAGCAGAAGAAGTTGTTATAACGCAAAAGGATCTCAAGTTAGATGAGACATTAGATGTTCTACAAACTAGAGTTTTGTGTAAAATATTGGATAAGTTGTTTTTTTCCAATTATGATTCGTTTCTATATAATCATTTTGACCCATATATAATGAAAATAATCGAAAAATAATTCCGTCCTCAAAGAGTTAATTTGAATATATGTTTAGTCATATTTTTTGCTTGTTTTATTCGTAATTCAAATGATGATAAAATGATAAAACATATTGATAATAATAAACATTCAAATTTTATTTTAAACGATAAATTTTTTCATTTAAATCGTGATCGATTTAATCAACTTAATAAAGTTCAATTAAAAGAAGCTCGTCAACAAAGTTTAAAAGAAATAAAAATGTGGTCAATTATTTATCATGTTTGAGTTTTCTAATGATTTTATACATAATTACTTATTCTAATCATAATTCTAATAGTTTTTATCAAGTTAATCATTTACGTAAATTTTTTATGAATATTAGATATTCGAAATATGATTATACTAAAGTGAGAATTCTTTTTTGTGTACTCAAAAAGTGACTACACTATAGAATCGGTCAGTGTGCCCGTCCGGCCGTTTACACGATAACTTTTGAAAGGAGAGTCCGATCGCGATGAAATTTTCTACACAGTTTAGTCTTAACAATATCTCGGTCGAGTTCGAAGATGAGAAGGATTGGCCGAGCCGTTCCTGAGTTATTGCAAAAATAGTCATTTTCCCCTATGGCTTCCTATGCGAAAATCGACCTATCCCCGCTTTCGTAAAAAACTTTTCCTATCATAAACAAATAAAACCCCAACTAGTATATACCATTCGATAGAGAATTTCACGAGCTACAAAATGGTATATAAAACATAAAGAAACAAGAAGATTAACGCACCTATTGCAAGGATAATTAAACGGGAATTGGTTCTGTTTGTGTCCACACTCTAATTGAGCCACAATTCGGACTCTGTCTTTCGATCACAGCGATGATAGTTCGAGGTTTTTTGGGTCGGAGAACTCCAATCTAAGCTCCGTCTGTCTTGAAATCCTATTGGTTGAGCAGTAACCAATAGAAATCAAGTTATAGGAAAAACGACTTTGTTAGGGTAAATCAAGGCGAAGAGTTGAAATCTAAGCTCTATTCATCTCTAAATCCTATTGGTTGAGCAGTAGCCAATAGAAATCAAGTGTTTATAGAAAAGGTTTGCCAGAATAATTTTTATACCCACACATTCTACGATGGCTCATCTGTCTCATTCACTTTTTGAAGTACACATAACACTCGGGTTTAAATCCGAGGTTTCCACATTTATTTAAATGAATGTCGTGCTTCTTCTCAGAAACACCAGTAAAACTGATTTTCGAATTTTGAATTGAAGGTTTGTATAGAGGTAGGTCTTTTAATGAGAATAGTTTATTGTGAATGTTTCAGATCTTTTGATTCGCTTCTACCCTGAAGTAAGAACATCGAATTTGTCGATGTATACGAATGATATAGAAGACACGCTTTTACCATAACTGTATCTTAGAATAGGAACAAGGACAAGTTCTGAAACATACATAAGAAACTACTCTCGTCAAAGTCTCTTTCTGTGCAACGTTTCAACTCAAAATTCGTTTTCCTAATGTTCCTAAGAGGAACCTCAGCATTCACTTAAAACCTACCATAATAGTACAGTATCTCGACAGCAATAAAGTAAGGGTCTCAGCATCTTAGAATATTCATGCCTAATTTATATCTACATGATTGACATAGTTGTCTGGTTAATATTAGAAAAAACGAATAAATTCGACTAAGACAAAATCTTGTAAAATCCGTGTCGAGCTATCAGAATTAGTAATAGAGAATAACATAGTCTAATGTATTTCTGCATACTCTTATTTAAATATATTTTCCATTGGGAATGATGTTTTTATTATAAACTATGAAATTTATTTTTTGATAACAAAAAAGAAAAAGGTTTTTAATTATGTTTTGCAGAAAAAATACTTTGTGGTAAATGAATATCATCACTTGATTGACTTTCATCAATTTTTGGCCAATGTTTTTGTCTAATACCTTCACCATATTTAATTAAATTTTGTGATGAAAGTATATATTGAAAATCATGTCCAATTGTAAATGAATTCGATGGATTTTTTCTTGAAATAGTTACAATTATTTGTCTATAATTTGGTGGTATAATATCATACATTTCTCGTTTAGAATCTTTTCTTGATATCAATGTATTTTTTGATATAGTACATCGAAAATGAAAATGAACATATTTTGATGGATGACGATTTTCAACAAGTAATATAAGACCATCCCAATATTTTTTTAATTCATATATTGTAACACCATCAGATTGTTGATCAATGTTATCTGAATTCTTTGATGTACGTACTGGTTCACCACGAAATATACAAAGTTTTATTAAAAATTCACGTTCAATTCGTAAAGGAAATTTTACACGTTGAATATCTAGTACATGAGAACTATGAATAGCTAAATAAATAAAAAGAATTTAATTAAAAATAAAAATTTTTGTTTTTGTGTTAAATTATCATACATATAAAACTCGAAGAATTGTTACGAATTTTAAACTTTCTTCGAGTTCTACATGTATAACTCGGTGTAGGTGTCATGGAGCACGAATACACACTGAAGCACAGACATAAGTACAGCCCATCGGATTCAAAAATTTCTGGGCCTGGACCCGGCTGATGAAAATTTGTTGGATCCAGACTCGATCTAGACCTGGACTAGGCCAATCAAAATTCTTGGATTTGAACCTAATTGATTGCTCTTTGGTAGGTAGAGCCTATTGAATCCAAGACTTTCTAGACTCAGCTCCGATGGGCTCTAGACACAAGACATTCCATATCGTTGAAACCGTTTGAAAACCGTCAGTTAACTACAGTTCTTCTGCTTAATATTTTTTTTGTATCTTAGTGCATGAGTATTTTTAAAATTTTAGAAAAATGCTACATTTCAATCAGAATCGCGACTTCTTAGTATTGCGGGCGCATTCAAGCCACATAAACTCTTTTCACTTAGTTTTTGAGTTTGAATATTTATTGAAGTTGGCACCCCCAAAAATAGTCATTAGCTAGAAGACTTGACGTATAGGAAAAAGTGTGCCGGCAACTGATATAAAATACTGTAGCATATTAAAATCGACTTTTTAAAGTTGAAATCAATGTCTTCAAGACTGAAAATATTAATTTAATAGATAAACTTGATAAAGAGTAAACCGTTCGAACCGTCAGTTTTTATGAAAATTTAATGGCATGGGAACCGTACTTGTTTCCACCTGGGTACGAAGATAAAAGCGAAAATCTTAAAGCTACATGATAAAATGTGCGGATCAAAATCTTCAAACTATAGGTATAGTTGAAAACTTGTAACGAATTAACGAGTTTTAGATTATTGTAAATAACTCACCAATAGTGAATTCAGTATTATCTAAATATTTATTAACTTGATTAAATAAAAATGGTAAAATAACATAAGTTCCTGGTTGAAGAAAACCATTCGTTGAACTAAGTTTATGTTGATCACGTCGACTTACAATTGGCATTGAATAAATACGATAATTTCCATTAGGTTGTTCTTCCATATTTATAACAGCAATACAAAGACTAACATCACTTCGTTGAACACGAAGATTTTTACTTATTTTTCTATGAAGTGTTATATCAAGTTCAGTCGAATGTGATATCGTTAAATAATAAGCTAATTTAAAATAAAAAACAAAAAAAGAAAAATAATACTAAAGCATTCTTTTTTGTTATTTATACTAGAAAACAAACCTTGCATCATTTTAGGAGCTGGATAAAAATTAGCTGAATCTCTAACTTCATACCAATTATGTCTTAATTTACAAATATCAACACATTCAAAATATTTAACAAATGATGTAAATGGCATCCAAAAAACACCATCACGTTTATTTCGTTTTTCATTAAGTAATTCAACATGTAAATCAGGATTTTCAGACCATAAATGTGAATCATCTGACCAATCACCTTCAACAAATTAATTTTATTCAATATATAATAAAAAAAATTATATGATTAAGAATTTATATACAACCCACGCCCATTGAAAGTATACCCTTCGAACTTTTTGTTTTTTATCTATCAACCTACTGTATATAGGAAGAAAGACTCGAAATGTGCTGCATCTTTTGGTATATTTACATTGACCATCAAATTCAGTTTAAAGTATGAAAGATGTATTAGAAGAAAAAGTCACTTTTTCTTTTTTGCCACAGTGTTTCTAATGCTGTAATCTTTTTTATTTCGCATATATCTCGATTTAGGTAAATAATAAAACGTTGAATTTTTTTCCAAAAGATGCACCGTGAAAAGCTCTACAAAAGCTGCATAATCGAATTCTTTTTTTTACCTGTTCTAGTGATTTTTCTGATAATCAAAATGAACAAATTACATGTCAGTGTCACTTCCCATCATACTCGAACTGTTGGAAGACTTTTTTGATCGGCATATATCTCGACTTGAGAAAATGACGGAATACGGAATTTTTTTTTCAAAAAGGTATGCCGTCGAAAGCTCTACAAAACTTGTATAGATCAAGTCCTGTAGTGAATCAGAGAAGTCCTCGAAACGTTTTCTACATGATGGGAAGTGATACTGCTATGTAAGTTGTTTTATTGTGAGTATCAGAAAAACTACTAGAGCAGATAAAAAAGAATTCGATCATGCAGCTTTTGTAGAGCTTGTCACGGCGCATCTTTTGGAAAAAAATTCAACGCTTTATCATTTACCTGAGTCGAGATATATGCGAAATAAAAAATATTACACCAGTACGGATACCCGAAATTTGGTAAAAGAAAAAATGTCACTTTTTATACTTCAAACTGCATTTGATAGTCAATGTAAATATACCAAAAGATGCAGCGCATTCCGGGCTTCCTTCCTATATATAGTAGGTTAATACATTAAAAAAAAATATTAATAAAAAACAAAAAACTCGAAGGGTGTACTTTCAATGGGCGTGGACTGTATAGTACTTTGAAAAAGTAGAAGAAAATATCATTTCAAAGATGAAAACTAGAGCAATGTACTGTAGAGATATGATATTCTATTTTACAACAAAATTACGATACCGAAGAAGTAGTTTCGAGAGTAGATGTAATCGAGTCCAAGAAATTCTGAACCCGGAACCGGTCGGTTCCGAGTCCCGGTAGACTCTATTCGAGAGTCAAATCAATTCGAAACTATTGTTGGACAACTTAAGAATGTAAACTGCTTCGTGATACTTTTCAGAACTACTTCAAATCTCGTTTTTTTTTCAATGTTGTTGTTCGACTTAGAGGAGAAACTCAATTTTTCCGAATGATTTTTGGCTAAAACTAAACATATTTTTTCGAGATGAGAATCATCTAAGAAGATTGAAAAGGCTTACAACGTGAAGACCGATGGTTCTACATAGAATTTGTTTTTGATATACTGTTTTAATGCAATATTCTAGAGATTTAATCCTTTTTTTGTTAGAAAAAGAAAAATGTTTACTACACACCTATATAAAACAATTCGATCGAAAACTTTTCCAATTTATAAAATAGCTTCAACCAATAAGAAGAATATTCTTTTTATTTTTCTTTGTCGAATTTTAAAGTGTAAGGATAAGGAACTATTTCTGTACCATAAAAAAAAGAAGGAATATTTGACGTGTTTTATAAGTATCGCCATGTGAACATTTTTATAGCAACTTTTCGTATCATCGATGATTACAGTAGAAAAACTAAATTCTTTTTCGAAAGAGAAACTTAGTCACTTGTGGAATAACAAACAAAAACTTTTTAAATGCATATTTCCGCTGAATATGTTTTTCATAAGAGAAAGAAGATGGGTAAATCATAATTCCAGTAAATATGAACCGATGGAGGGTAGGTTAGTGCTTGTGATCAGGATCTCTTGTCGCATTCATACACTCAAAATATCATCTCAATAATCATAAAGAATAGTAGCACTTCATGAGAAGTCATTTACTTTTGTCTAGAACTATACTTAGAAGAGTGATAATGTTTGAATAAAAAGAAAAGATTACCAGTCCATCTATATGTTCCACCCCATGGATTTCTTAATTTAACTAATTTATGTTTTCCATCTTCTGATTGTTTAAGATCTTGTAATGAATAAGCATGAATATTAAGTAAACCATATTTTTCAAATTCTTCTTTACTAATAAAATTATTACAACACATAGCACACATTAAAAATCTTTGAGAACGTGCATATAATAATTTCGACCATAATCTATCATAATCAACATTTTTATCATCTGGATTATTTGCACGACCAAGTATTAATGTTTCACATGGACTTCCTGTAACTGTAGCTAAACCTAATTTTTGTTTTTTTAATAAAAAAAAAGTTCATTAAAACTTAATAGAAATAAATAAAAATAATAACAAACCTTCACAACATCGACCAGCAATAATAGCTTCATAACTTCCATTTAATTTTGCTAAAGCTTTTTCAATTAATGGAACCTAGAATTAATTTTCTTATATTTATTTTTATTTTGAATAAATAACAACAACAACAAAAAAAAAGATTTCTTTTTTTTGTTTACCCAAAGTTGTTTTCGATGTGCTTGAGAATAAGCTAATTTTTTATTTGATGTACATGGAAGACGATCATCAACAACAACTTGAGTCCATTCACCATCTTAAAATTTTATATCTAATTTTATTATTAATCAATTTAAAAAAACATTTTCTTTTACCTTTACATAAACGTACAGAATAAATTCCTTCAGAATTATATTGTTTAGTAATAAGTACCTAATTTTTCAAATAAAAACATAATTTTTTAATATAAAAGAAAATATTTTTAAATTTACTCTCATTAAATATTCAGGTTCTTCAGCAAGAACACTTAATGCTGTTATAAACCAACAATCACCTAAAGCTCCTTGAAGTACATCATTCGGTTTAGGATCTCGAAAAACTGCCCATTGTGTTCGAGCATTATCAGTCCATTCTTGTGGAGTTATTTGATCAGGTCTCAACCATTGAATATTATTACTTGATGATTTATTTAAATTCATTTGCTGTTGATTAGGTAAAAGAGATAATGTATATTTTGAAAAAGACTCTCCATTAATATAAAGTGAATGAGGTGATGCTGGAAAATTTTTATCTTTAAATCTACTATGTGTTATTAAACAAGTTCGAAGAAGTTTTTCAACATGTTTCATAACAATATGTTCATCAGCTTCATGTTTATGAGCTATAAGAACACTACGTCGATGATCATTATCTTCATCTATTGAATTTCGTTTTCGTACAGAAACATCTCGATTGTGATGATGATGACGATGATGACCAGCTGATGAATTACTAAATAAAAAATAGTTTTATTTTTCTTTCAATCAAGGTTAGAGTTTTTTTTTTATTTTACCTGACTTGAGCTGATGAATTGTGTTGATGATGATTTTTATTTGAAATTGTATCCATATGATTGATAGAAGGAATATAAACATTTATTTTATTTGAACCACATTCTATACATAATTGTATATCATTTTCATTTATTGTATGACATAATTGACATTGCCATTGACGTTTATTAACAGATGATTTTGTTAACGTAATAATATGTTGATGTTCTTGAGTATGATTGTGATCTAATGATCGTGATCGATGATGTTCTTTTTGTAAATTATTTATTGATTCTTCTTTTCGTGTATTTAATGAATGTGATATTTGTGTTGGTTGACGATGATGTCGTGATTGAAAAAGAAATTCATTATTAAATGCATGAAGAATTTGATTTAATGATTCTTGAGCTTCTGATGATAAAGTAGAATTACCATAAAGATTTGCTTGTGAAAATACAGTGCCCATATATCATTTGATTTGTATCTTTTTCTATTAGTCTTTCTTTCTTTCTCTCTCTCTCTCTTTGCTTTTCCTTGTCCAACCGAGTATGATTACGAAAAAAAAAAATGAGGTGAACAACAACGATCGTCTCATTTATCTACATCGTATACCTTCGTATTTTACACGGTCGACATCAATTATTTCCTCATGTATATTACATTTTAGATAATGATGAATACGAAAGAAGGAACAAAATAACGATCAAAGAAAAAAGAAAAGAAACGAAAATGTACGAAGAAAAAAAAAACTCAGAAGACAGCCACGCGTCATTTAATATTTGTGATTTATGTTGAAAAGTACGCAGAATGTACTCTAATAGCGAATGAGAAATTTCGTGTAATACTTTTTTTGTTTTGTAATATAGAAGATATTCATTATTGTTTTAAATAGTTGTTCAAAGTTTACTTTTCGATTTGTAATATTTAAAAAACTTAATTAAAGAAAATCATATTTTGATGATAATTTTCTATTGCAAATTTCCTTTTTTTTTTATTATATTGTTGTTTCAATTATTTTTCATTAATAAATTTCGATATTTTATCTTTTAAATAATCAAATAGAAACAATAAATTAATTATAAAATTCTTTCTTCCAAAAATAATATCATTGCTAATAGTGACCTCTATAATTTCTCATTAGGATTGATAAATTCTTCTTAGTTATTTATCTAGAGAAGAAACTCAACAAATGATACTATTCTGAACGGTGTTAATCAGGGTTTCTAATGGCAAGTGTACACAGCAGAAGCAAAATGTACAAACATTTGCATGTTTGAAAATACACGCTGCTGTACACTTGTCTTAAAAAGCAGAGTGTACATTGTACACTTTGCAAATGAGATTTTAAATGAATTTTTTATCTCAAAAATTATATGTAAACGATGATTCGATTCTGGTCTATTTTTCATTTTTTCTATTCGTTGGCTGACATCCTTTCTCTTCGTAATTTTTTTTCTTTTCAGATTTATATTGACTCGTTCCCGATACTGATGTGATAGCTGCAGAAAAAAAATCAAAAATTGCAATATTCAACTTAGTTTTCTTCAAATCATACCAGTTTTCATGATGATGAAGAGGATCATGACGACTTTGATAATTTTTCTGGTTATTTAGAATTTTGAAAAATAATAAATCAAGGTTCTTATGCTGATGTGCTTTCATAATGCTATACTTTCGTGCAGTGAATCGTCCTAAATGAATCACACACAGATTACTTTTTCCTTGCTTTCTATTTACGTATCTATTATTATTCTCTATTTTTTACTGGGTAAAACAGATATGAAAATGTTTTTCCCATTTTCTTCTTATAATATGCAGCGTAAGCACCGTACATTTTGTACACTTTGCTAATGAAAACAGATGCAAATGTACACAGTGCTCATTTAAAACAGCGTGTACTGTACATTTTATTTTAGATTTCCATTAGAAACACTGGTGTTAATCAATAGTAGATCTTGGATTTTGAAAAATGAATAAGAAGATCATGATCATAGAACATGTTTTGAAGTCCATTAGAAATCATATCGGTTAATTTTTAGGCGTTTTCTGCTGAGAAAAATATTTCGGAAGGAAGAGACGATTGTCCTCAATGTCCTCTCTAAATTTGCTACTGTATAAAGTACCTCAAGAAAATGCCAGGTATCCGAGGTACTTAGGATTTTGAAAAGTATTGTAATAATATTCTGCAAAGTAGAAAAAAGCATTTTGTTTATTTGTTGCAGTATTATGAAAAAGTTACTCGTCTTCCTTTTGTTTATAAATTCTAATTCCAGATGAAACTACAAAATATTTTTTTTCGTTCATTCATTCTCGTCATTGAAATTTTCCAATATCATTTCTTATGCATACTTTCTTCATTAGTTCTTTTCGGATGTATTTAATTATTTTTTTTTGACTCTAATATACATATGATAGTTCAGAGAAATATTTCTAAAATCTAATCAGATAAATATTTGAACGTTTTTGTATATATTTTTTATAATTGGATATGAATATTTATAACTCGATCTTTGATTTTATTGATGGAATCCATTGTTATAATACTTTGTTTTAGATTTCTATTTGAAACCTTAATTTCGGATTTGTTTTTTTTTCCTTTGTTTTAATAAAACATAATGGAAGTAATTCATGATCAAGCAAATCAAGAATTCAAAATTGAACTTGATAAATCAACATCTGACAAAGGTTTTATTTTTCTTGTTGCATAATAGCAAAAAAATTTTTTTTTTGTTAAAATTTTAGCTTATTTAACATATGAATTTCAAGATGATACAATTGATTTTCAACATACATTTGTTCCATCAAAATATCGTGGTCAAGGTATTGCTGAAAAACTTGTTCAAGTAAAATAATATTCATTTAATTGAAATTTAAATAAATAAATAAATAAATATTTTGTTTTTCTTTAGAAAGCTTTAAACTTTGTTGATAATGAAAGTTCAATTAAAAGAATTATTCCAACATGTTCATATGTTGCTAATTTTTTAGCAACAAAAGCTCCTCAATATGCTCGTTATTTAAAATAATAAAATTTTCTTCTCTTTTTCTTTTTTAATTCTTTCAGATGACAACAATTCGTTTAAAACTTCCACCGAATTTATATCGTCCATGGAAACCACTCTATCGTCAACGTTCAAAAAAAGAAAAAGATCCACCAGCACCATATACACCATTAGAACAACAAATTTATGATCATGCTAAAATTAAATTTGATCAAAGAGTTAATATTCTTCGATCAATATTTGCTCAAGAACGTCAATCATTATCAACAAAATCTCGGTTTGCTCAACTTCAACTTAAAGCTGAAGAACAAGAATTTAAACAATTAATTAATATGGTCAAGTAAGTTTTGTTTTATTCTTTTTTCGATGATCAACTATAAATTAGAAAATCAAGAAATTTCATGAAATTTTGTATAAATCTATGACCCAGTTTAATCATAGATCGAATTCTTTGATTTCGAACACAATCTGAACAGTGAAGAGATCTTCTACTAGTCTGAAGTCAAATTCATAATGGAAATCAAGTAATTTAAAGACTTGAAGAATGATGTAATAGCATAGATACTTAGAGCGTCGTTTTTACTATCAGTCCATATAGAGAAAAAGTTTCTTCAAGATATCTACTTAGGTCTAATCAAAAGTTCTAAGAACATTAAAGAGTAATATAAAAAAGCAGAGATATTTTATCAAATGTTAAGACTAGTTGCCATAATTATTTATATCAAGTTCAATCCTTTCGACACAATCTATTAAAAGTTTTTTTGACTTCTTTTTCTAAAACAATTTTTGCTACCTTAGAAACCATATGAGCTAATTATATTTCATTTGTTTTAAAAATTTAATGGAATTTTGTTTGAACATATCAGTTGCAGTCTAGTACTACTAGTGATGTGATATCGATTTATTTTAGATAGATTAGTCATAAGTTATTCGATGGTAGATGGCTTATTGAAGATGAATCGTCAAAGACTATTATTCATGAATATAGATTTTAACCAATGGTTTGTTTGGTATATTTTTTAAATAACATTACTCTTGAGTGTAGATAAAGGCAAGACTATAAGTCACAAGTATTATATTGAAAATTCACCAAAGCCTTTTATTAATGAAATATGAAAACAAACATAGACATTAGATTCAAAATGTACGAAATTGTTTGACGATCATCGTTGACTTCATACTCATCCAATGTTATTAATTCTATGATAGAAGAAGACATCAATATAATGTCATACCCAACATATTCTTCAGGCTTGATATCATATAATTTTTGATTAACTAATTCTATTGAATGTAGTTTAAGGAATTAAATAAATGAAATAAAATTAGCTCATGTAGTTTCTAAGATAGCAAAAATTGTTTTAAAAAAAGAAGTCAAGAAAACTTTTAGTAGATTGTGTCGAAAGGATTGAACTTGATATAAATAATCATGGCAACTATTCTTAACATTTGATATAATAAAATTAAAAATATCTCTGCTTTTTTATATTACTCTTTAATGTTTTTAGAGCTTTTAGTTAGACCTAAGTATAAGGAATTAAAGTATCTCCACCATTACTTTTCGATTGTCCTAAGTATATTCCCGGGTAAAGACAGTAAACGCACGATAAAACTATGATAGTCTTGGATTGATTTCGACTTTTCTCGGTCAAGGAGACTATTTTCAGAAAATAGCTGAAATTTTCTAAAAATAGACTAAAGGTTTTTCTCAGAGTTCAGAAATTCGAATCTATAGAAGGTTTGTCAAAAATTTCTAGTTCGATATTCTCGTTTGAGAAAGGCTCAGTTTTCACGATTTATTCATGTTTTATAAAATTGAACTGTGTTCTTGAAATAGAACTTCGCCGAGGGAAAAAGCCGAAATGAATCTAAGATCATCATTATTCTATATATTCATATTTAGACCAGTACGAAACTGTATGTAAGACCTATGATTACCTCCACTGTTGCATTCCTATCATATTTCAAGTCGTATAATCCTATCATCTAGAAAAATTTTCTATTTGCTCTAGCAAATTTTATAGAACTTGATGATATATCTCTATGGATGATAAAATCATATTATACACAATTTTTGAATATATAAAAGAATTAATTTTTAATAAATTTTTAGACAAGAAAATGAACGTTTACTTGCAATGCGTCGTAATGATGAACGTTTAGCATTAGAAGAGGAAGAGCATTTGCGTTCACAAGTTTTAAATATATTATCTGAAAAAGAATTTAATGAACATCTAAATATTGAAGAAGAAGTAAAACAAATAAAAAAAGAATCTCGTTCATGGGTTAATCCAAATGATTTATCACGTGAAATTGAACGAATGCTTAATGAAAAACATGATTATAATTTTTCAATTGATTTAACTGGAATAAAACGAACACAATCAGGAAAAGACATTGTTGATCAAAATAAACCAGATTTAGTTTCAATATCACCTTTTGAATTAGAACCAAAGAATGTTGCAAGAAAACCACCTGGTGCTTCGAAATATGAAGAATAAAATCTTTCTCTTTGTTTTTTTTTTTTTTAATAAAAAAGATTTTCTTTATGTTAGTATTGATTGAAAAATGTTATCAAACTGTCTGTTTCTTTCAAGATAAAAGAAAAAGAGAATGTCTCGTTTAGGATCCGGAAATACCAATCGAAATAAATCGGGTAATGGAGGAAAAAAAGATAAACCAATAACTAATGGACATCAACAAAAAAGTATATTTATTTAATTCGTTATTTTTTCTTTTGTAATATTTCTTAATTAAGATAATAAAAAAGAAGAATCTTCATCAAGTGATGATGATGATGATGAGCCAATTCGTGTTCCAATTCAATTAAAAATCGAAGTAAGAAACTCAACAAAATAAAAATTAATATTTATTCGTTTTCAGTTTGTTAATTCAATTATGTTTCGTCAATGGGCATTAGCAAAAAAATTATGTCAATTTATGTTAATGTATGAACCAAATAATAATGAAGCTAAACAATATGCTCCATTAATTGATTATATGTTGGCAAAAGAACAATCTTCTTCATCGGATGATGATGATACAAGTGGTAATATAACAAAAAAATATATATCGAATAGATTGGTATTTTGGTTTTTTTTTGGGTTTAGATAATGATTCATCTGGAAGTAGTAGTAGTTCAGATTCTTCATCAAATGAAGAAGAAAAACAGAATGATACTGTTGAAATTCAAACACCGAAACCAATCAATGCTTCGTTATCAAACAAATGTCCATATCATAAGTGATCAAAAACACAAAAAAACTTCCGTCCATTTTATTTTCTTTTTTGCACGTATATTTTTAATTGAAATGAATCTCACCGAAATAAATAATATTCCAAGAACATACAGAAGGATGTCATAATATCCGAAGCTCAAGTATCGAGATTTTCCAACATCCACATATCCTTGAAGAGTGAGGTTTTTAAGTGAATTTGGTGTAACGAGATGGATACCCAAAAAACGGATACGCATATATCTTGAAGGTTGAAGATGCTTGGGAGATTGGTTGTTTGGTCACACCCTGAGATATTTGAAAAGTTTCATAAATGCACAATGTAGAGGCATGGTCACAGGCCCACATGAATGAGGGTCGTAGCTTCAACCTGGCACGCTGAGGCGTCCATACCAATAGGTTCACGCGTACCTATCCGTGCCTTCGGAATAATCGACTCCCTGCGTCGAAATCCTCTTCTAGTCGGAGATTAAATGTCGCATCTGGTAGTCAAACTCGGTCTGACACCCTCACTATAACTATAGGAACGTCAATTAACAAATGTACAAAGCAGAGACCGAAACGGGGCGGGGAGCATTTTTGGCTGGACGGGGCGGAGACGGGGAGACAAAAAAACTTAGGTCGGGGCGGAGCGGGGACAGGATGACCAAAAAAAATTTAGGTCGGTGCGGGGCGGGGCAGAATGAAGTAGATTCCTGGAAAACTTTCTTGTTCTTCAGTTTCACATTCAAAATTCGTATATGCATTAAGGAAGAATCGATGAAAGTCGGGGGGACGGGGCGGGACGGGGTCGGGGAAGCAAAAACAACTAAAGAGCGGGGCGAGGCGGGGTCGGGGAAGCAAAAACAACTAAAGAGCAGGGCGAGGCGGGGTCGGATGGAGAAAACTTTCGACGGGGCGGGGGAGTGAAAAATCCGCCCCGTTTCGACCTCTGGTGCAAAGCTACCAATAACTGTATCCTCGGTCGGGTGAAGCTCAATATCCGACTGCCGCAGGCTTAGCGACATCCAAACAATCACGAATATGCGAACCGTCGTACAGATCGAAATTGCTAATGTCGAGTCATAACGACAGTATCACGCAAAGACACACTCACACTGAGACGCAAAATAGGAATGGGCACGCGTGACCTCACCAACATTCGATTAGAGCGAATCCTGAAGACTGAACTGTAGTGGTCAAAACTTGTCAGATATGCAAATATCGAATAATTCAATAGCTGTACTACAGGTATTCACCTGTCCTACTGCTCAATTATTGAACAGTTGAATCCTAGAAGTTACTTGTTCAGTTATTCAATAATGGAATATTTCAATGCAAGCTTCAGGTTTAACCTGTTCACGCACTCGCCACACTCGAAGCACATGCGATGTCATGCATGTCGTTGTTGTTCGGTGTATTCATCGGCTGGCAGAACGAATTCAAGTTACGATAATATGGGTATTTTTTCTCGCATCTCTACTCTTTCCCGCCACCAACACCAGGTGTCGTGCACTGTATATATTGTATCCTGTGTGAGTCCTTTCGTAGCACTCATCCCAGGTGCTGCACACTCTATGTATTGTTGCCTGCGTAAGTCCTTTCGCGGCACCCACACCAGATGCTGTGGGCTGTGTGTATTGTCCCCTGCGTAAGTCCTTTCGCGTCACTCACACCAGATGCTGTGGGCTGTGTGTATTGCCCCCCTGAGTAAGTCCTTTCGCGACACCCACATCAGGTACTGTGGATTGTATGTATTGTCCCCTGTGTGAGCTTTTTCGCGGTACCCACATCAGATACTGTGAGGTGTGTGTATTGCCCCCTGTGTGAGTCCTATCGCGGCATCCACACCAGGTGCTGTGAGCTGTGTGTATTGCTTCCTGCGTAAGTTCTTTCGCGGCACCTACACCAGGTACGATGCTCTGCATGTGTTGTGCCGTGCGTTCATGCCTTGACGCCACCCATACACCCATATCTACATTCACATCCTAATTTCGTTCTGAGACCATCAGAGAAGATCAGAACTCTAACAAGTTGCATAGATTCGAAAGCTCTGAGCGAGAATAGTTCAAAGAGCAAAAATACACAAATATCATAAGCCATAGGCGGCACACTTCAGTAAAGGCATCATCAGTTGTTAAAATCCAATCTTTCTGAAAATAGAACCCGTAAGACTACAGCTAAAGCTGTATACAATGGAAAAGGAAATAAATTGGAAAGACTTTCAAAAGATAGAATGAATTTTTGGAAAAGTGAAATGCAAAATGGGTAACCAAATACATTTTCTTATCGAAGATAAATAAAATAAACTTCTGTATTGCCATAAGATAAGATTCTCTGTATACTGCAATATTTTTTTTAGTATTCAATACTAGGAAAAGTATTGCAGAATGATGCAAAGTTAGGCTGCATCGCTAATCACAAAGTTGCTTCAAATTGACTCAAAGTCCTCACTTTTTAGGGATAGGGCATCCATTTTTTTGGGTACCCATCTCGTTACACCAAATTCATTCAAAATCCTCAACTTTAAAAGATAGGGTATCCATTTTGGGTATCCATCTCGTTACACCAAATCTACTCAAAATCCTCAACTCTAGAAGATAGGGTATATATTTTTTGGGTATCCACTCTGATGGATATCATGACTCGTATCTTCTCGATACCCAGCCTTCGGATATTATGACATCTCTGGAATTTCTGACAAGTTTCTCTAAAATTGAGATTTTTAGATCAATTGTCAATGTCGATCTTTGTTGAAAGATAAGAAAAGAGTAGTCAATTTTTGTGAAAAATCGATCGAGAATGAGCAATAAAATGTACTTAACTCGTAGTTGAATAATATTAACAATATGAGGCTTACATAACTTACAGGATTTTAACTAACAACTCTAAAACACTGCTGATAATTAAAATGTCAACTTTTCTACTTTATACACATTCAATAGAGTTTTATCTCCTTTTTAAAAAAAGAACGAAATAAAACCTGGAACTGTTGCTGTTTTTAATTTATAAAGAATTTTCGTCTACTTAAGTTCTAAATGATATCTTTCAATTTCATGATGTGATCAATGTTTTTAGCTATGAAAATGATTTGATATTGTTTTCATCAATTGCGTTTTGTTTATACATACATCGGATACATTAAACTATCCTATTATTGTTTTAGTACGGACGCTCAGCCGAAAAAGTAGAGCAAATAAGTGAAACAATAGCAAATGCCCTATGATTGGTCGTTTGATTTTTTTGTGGAGCTCAAAATAGCTTTGATTCTAGTAGATAGAAAAAATTATTCTCTATCGAACGGCATTTTTAGTTTTATTTTTAAAAGAGGCACGTAATGGCACGAAACGTCACAAAGATGAGATTGTAGAGTCCTCTTTATGGTATATATTTTTTTATTGAATTTAATCTCGAAATTTGCACTTGGGCTAGACAAATGAACACCTAACTACGTAGTCTCTTTATTCTACTTAGACTCGAAAATTCTCGATATTAACTTAGAAAAAAAAGAAGCAAAACGTGTGGCGCCACAACGTGTATATTTGATATTGATTAGATGAGGCATTGGGCTCAGCGTACATACTATTGAACCAATAGAAATGAGCACCTTTTGCGATGTAATTCAGTAGAGTAAAATCGACGATTATCTTATTAGTCGAATTCTTCATTGTTTCTTTCATTGTTCGTGTTCATTATTCGTCCTACACAGTCACCTAATATCTATATATACAGAAATCAATACATATCAATTGCAAATAAAATCATTTTCTTACGCTTTTACAAACGCTATCTATCACAACAAATATGGCACAAAAAAATGAAGATTTTTTAGAACTTCAAAAATTACAACACAACCCAGGTCGAACGTTACGGAGTTCGTAAGCGATCGTATACGACTGTATACGGCCTCCGTTTACTGTCTCCGTAAACGACCGTTTTTTCGTCCGTATACGATCGTATTGCTCTGTATACGACACGGAGATATACGATCGTAATACGATCACATGTAAATCGTCGTATTTCTCCGTATACGGTCGTTTATGACCGTGCTTGTTCGACCTGGGAACCAAAAAAGAATCGAAGTGGGTTTTTTTTCGTAATTTGTAATTAAAAAAAAAACTTTTTAGTTCTTGAATCAATTGATTGCAAATAAGCCAACGAAAAACGATTTATTCAGCTACCTCAAGGAACGTGCTGAACTTCATTTTCATACGGATGAATATGAAGGTAAATTATACATAAAATATTTAAGTCATGCAGATATATACAATTGCTTTAGGCGTAATAAAAGACATCGATGCTATGCAAGAATTAAACAATATTCCAGCGGATATAAAACTTATTAAATGGTGTGTCGCTTTGTATTATCATTTCTTTAATACGATTATTTTTTTTTTCTTTACAGGAAATCTTTATTTCAAATCAATTGTGCATGTATTCGTAAACAAATAAAAGAATCTTTATTTGTACATGGTAGTATAATTGAATTTTTTTATTTCTAAAATACAATACCGACTTTTTAGATAATCTTGCTCATATAGAATTCCTTGGTCGAATTCATCAGGATAATGTGAAAAAATTTCTTGATGGTATGTTATACATATAATGTAATTATATTTGTGTAAAAAAAAATGTTTTTTTTAGATGATGAAAAAATAAACAATAAACGCAAGAGACACCATTAAAGCTTATGTTCACAATTTTGAACTTATTTATCGTGTTCATTTACATGAATAATACTTCATGATTGTGATAATGAACTTTTTTGTGTTGATATTGAAGGTTCTCCTTTTTTTGTATGATTAATTGATGTTATGAATATTATTTTCAATGATTACTTTGATGGTGGCTTTCAATATTGTTTTGTTTCTTTGTGTTAAAATTGAAAATTCAATTTTTTTTCGACTGTTTTGTTCTAAAAGGCTGTTGTTATCTTTTCATCTTTCATTTTTCTTTAAATCTGGATTAAAAAAACACTGATATTTATATTTTGAAATAAACAATTTTTTCAAAAACTTCAATATATATTCGTAAATCAAGCACTCAGATTTGCGAAATTATTTAATCAATGATGAAAATTCTATTGGAACAAATCGTTCATCAACCTCATTCTTTTCGGTTCAACTTATTTATTTTAGTTTACTTCGAATAATTGAACATCTCGGTAAAATAAGAATTTTCATTGTTTTTTTTAATGATAAATCGTTTTTTTTTTAAGTTCAATATTATATAAAATTAGATAAAATAGATGAAGGTGAAGGTTGTGTAAAAGAAATCTCATCGTTAAGTTCCTTATGCCATCGAATGTTTTATATGCGTGGATTAATAAATGATGCTCGTGGTCAATTAAGATTAGCAAAACAATATTATAATGATGCATCATTGATTAATCCTTATCATTTTCCAACATGCATTTAATTAAGGCCCCTCTCCCGCCCAAAAATGTCGATTTTGGTCGAATTTTTCGATTTTTTTATTTATAGCACATTTGATAGAGCAAAGTCTCCGCTATCGAACGCACTATAGTTTATGGATTTTATGATGAATTTTCACGATGTAAATTCAATTTTTCTGAAACTCCCTATTCTGAAAAATTACACTTTTTTTCAAAAACTGCTGATTTTTCACAGTGATGGCTATAGTTGGCATGTATCGCTGAGTATAATAGCTTGGTACGTACTGTTTCTCAAGAATATATATATAAACGACAGAATGGGATGAAAATATTGACCACTCATGTGTAGCTCAATTTTTATCGAGAGAATAAGTACCTGTTATCGAGATGACTCCTGATGATCATGTTATCTTTCAATAGTCTACTTTTCTACATTTGACGCAATCATCGTTGTTAACAATATTGCTCAACGTCTAGTGTGACTATCGTTCTGTGTACTATTGTTCAACACGTCTGGCGTGATCATCATTCTTTGTTCGATTGTTCAACATATGATCCTATGTACATATAAATACGTACATTTTTTCATTTTCATTGTTCATTTTCATTTCACACTAATATAATATATATATAATTTTAAAGACAAGAAAAATCTTAAATAAAATAAACTATCTTATTTGTGATCTCTTTAATATATTTGTTGATTAAAATCAGTTGTCAAGTGTATTTTCAGCAGTAAGTGATGACTATTTTTCGTAATACAATACGTTATATGTTGTTAGTCGTAAAAATAGGTTTGAATGGGTAAAAGAAATATTTGCTACAAAAAGAAAAGTAAAAGATTAATTATGAAACGGATTCGTCCAGATAATTTGAAGAGGAAGAGAGATCATTCATCATCATCAAGCACCAACGAAGAATCAATGATGTCGGTGCAAAGTCAGTCCACACCCAGCAAACAGAATGTTGAAGATAATGTTAATTTTAATTTAATTATACATATGAATTCTTTAATCTCATTACTAAAGCAATTTTTATGTCCTGGTTGCAATAAATTTTGGGACGGATCCACAACTGTCAAAGGACGCAATGGATTATACATGCAACTTGAATGCATGTGCTACAATTGTAAATCTCTCACTCGTTTATATTCATCACCGAAAATGCCAACTGGTAGACGTCATGAGATTAGTATTCGATTAGCTATTGGTGGTACTCTATGTGGATTAGGTCGTACTGGAATCATGAAATTGCTAGGTGCTTTAAATCTACCATCACCGACTCAGAAACACAAGTACCGTGAAGCACAAGAATTTATTTTTAATTATGTTGAAAAAGCTCAAGAATAATCAATGATTACGGCTGTCGAAGAGGCTGTTGTTGAAGCTGATGGTGTACGAGATTTAGTAGTGAGCGGTGATGGTGCATGGCTTACTCGAGGATACTCTAGTCTTCATGGAATCGCTACTTTATGTTCAACAACAGCCAAACCAAAAGTTATAGATACTAATTGGTGCTCTAAAACGTGTACTAAATGTCAAGGGGCAGAAAGCCTACGTCGTGTTAATTTTGATTTATTTAAAACATTTCAGGAGAATCATGAATGTCAATTAAATTTTACAGGTACTTCTTATGAATTATACAATACTTTGTCATAAGTCTTTCTAATTTAGGAACATCAGGTGCAATGGAAAAAGAAATGATTCGTGAAATGTTTTGCCGATCCTTATCAAAATATAAAATTAAATATATTTCATATATTGGAGATGGTGATGCTAAAGTCCATAGTTTTCTAACAAGTAACTCACCATATCTTGGCGTAAGTATAAAAAAAATTGAAGATACAAATCACTTTGCAAAACGAATGTTGAGTCGCATAAAAAAGATCAAGCAAGAGAACAAGAATAAAATTTTGTCTGACGGTAAAAGATTTAGCGGAAAAGGACGGATGACTGATGCTCATGCAATCAAATTTAAAATTTATTTTGCTAAAGTTATACGCGAATCTAAGTTTGATTTAGATAAACTTTATCAAAAATCATGGGCTATTTTCAAACATCATTATTCGACGGACAAGGAACCAACGCATGATTGGTGTGACCCTCAATGGTGTAAGTACCTGCAAGCAAAATTAAATGGTCAACAATTTTCTCATAATTTAAAATCAACCATTCCAAGAGCATGCTTGAATATGATCAAGCCCGTATTTCACGAGTTGTGTTCTAAAGCTAGTTTAGCACGTGTAGTGGATGATGGATCACAGAACGCCAATGAGACATTGCACTCAATACTATGGACAATGGTTCCAAAACACCGTTTTTGTTCATCAATCATTCTTCGTATCGCATTAGATTTATGTACAATAATTTATAATGACGGTTATAATTCTTTAGGCACATTATTTACAAACATTTTTTCGTCTATAGGATATTATTCTGCTGAGTGTTTTGATCGTCTTAGTTCAATGAGAAAACGTTTCAATTTAAAAATAACAAACAGACGTAAGAAAAGAACAATAGCAACCGTAACATCAACAACTTCTGCTGCTAATGATTCTTTCAGTGAAAGCGATGATGAAATGTTATTCATGCTTAATGATAAAGATTCTATTGATATTACTCAAGATTTAATAGGATTGGATCTACCAGATGACGATACAAATACTGACTATGAACCTGGAGGAGATGATTAGCTTTTTATAAAATATCATTATTTATCTAAGATTTTGTACAAACTAGTTAATAAAATTTGCTACAATATAATCATTTGTGAGAGAAATTCAACATGTTTTCATCTATTTCAGATAATTTGAAAATACTATTATTATATGATATAAAATTATCGATATAAATTCAGTTGATTTGTTTCGTGTCATACAAAGCAGTTCTCAATGACTCGACTATGCACATAACATGACCATATGGAACAAATAAAAGTTTTTTCATAAACCTCTGCATGCGTCTACTGAGTTCGTTTTAACCAATGATCTATAGAAAATCATTAAAAAATTTACTTTATTCTATATTACCATACAAAAAGTCTTCAATTTCACTTCTCTATATTCTTTTACGTTTTTCTCAAAATAGTTTTTTTTTATTTTAACACTTTCGTATTTCCCAAATCCTTTCACCATTTTAAACGCTAGAGAACTCGGATTGGTTTCAAAATGAAGGGAATGATTAGCTCTACAACTTAACAGAGCCGAAATTTTACATTTTATCTTTATTGTCTTATGAGACTCAAATGTATCACAATACACATCCTATCATTACCATACATTATAAGGTAAGCTGTAATAAAAAAAAATGAAAAAGGAAAATTTAAATTTAAACTCTGTTAAGTTGTAGTGCTAGGTCTTTAGTATATTTTAAAATCAACTCGAGCTTTCTAGCATATGAAATGGCAGCGGGGTTTGGGAAACGCGGACCCCCCCATTTTGACCAGTAATCTTGAGATACAACTCGGTAAACCTAATATTTTGAACTGAAATTTTTACTGTGAGCTACCTAGCATGAGATACACCTCTTCTGAAAATTTTAGCAAGACTGGATGATCCGAAGCAAAAATAAGAATTAGGGTGGAAGGGGGGGGTCTTAAGGCCACCCCCTCCCCCTCAAAAATCTATCTCAACCCAGGAACATTCAAATGACATGAAAATTTCAGAATATGTTGGGGCTAGTGAGACATGGCTATGGTGAAATTTTCAGCCCTATAGCACGATGTTTAACCGAGATATGCACCAATCAAGGGGCAAAAATAGCTCTTTAGTATCTCCAAGTTTTCTCTGTGAGTCTTCATTCTAGACATTTAATTTTGTTTTTGTTTGAAAAAGCATGTCAGAATGCAGCGACTCTCGTGACCCTTTTTTTTAAAGTCTTACTTTTTAGGGGAAAAAACCGGAGCGAAAGTTCAATGACTCAAAAAATCTCTCTAAAAATTGCGCTACTCCGATAGAGATGTTATCTTCTACGATAATAAAAAAGCTTATTTTCAAAAAGGGTCATGAGAGTCGCTAGCCCTGCACATAAGTTTTCAAACAAAAAAAAAATATTTAGCGTTATCTCTTACTGTGATGGAGTTCTGCTGGAGATACGTCGTTGAACCCACGTTCTGAGAAAAACGAAAAATGATTTTTGGTTTTTTTGTAAAAAACGCTTATTTTTCGAATAGGGGGTGGCAAAAATCTTCCGAAATTTTCGGAAAAAAAGAGGTTTTGAGTAAAAGCTTTTGTCATTTATGAAAGAGCATTTGACGAACTATATCCCCATGAGGTTGTCTCAATTTCGATCATTTTGACGAAAAGTGACTTTTTTGAGAGGGGGGGAGGGGCCTTAATTGAAAAGTGTAACTATCAGTAACTAACATGGGACGTCTTTTATTTTAAATTAGTTTTGAAAGAGAAGGTTTACACGGATTGGGCGGTAATATTTAATCTTGGTGAAATTTTTTAAGATTTTGTTAAACTTGTTGTTGAAATTTGATGAATTTTGTTTTCGTTTTCATCGGTCTTTATTTTCTAAATTTTTGATATGATCATCGTAAGATAAATGAATTATGCGAAAAGAATGAAGAACATATCACAAAATACACATCATCTACAGCCATCCGTGCCAGTTCTAATATGTTTTTTAAACCGAAGGACTTTTTCCAAGTACATTGCTAAAAGGACACTTGCTGCTAAGGATAGTTGTTTTCGAGAGCTAATATCTAAGGACGTTTTTTTAAGAACATTTATGATCGTTACTCCTTGAAACATGTACCGAATAACACAACCACCAAGCCAAAGCAGTCCCGCTTGCAATGATCGGATATGATAATGTTAACTTTCAATGTTAATGTACGTTCTAGATGAATTTTCTATGCATCTCTTGTCAAAAGCAATCCACATTCTAATATCATATGCATTGAATTTATTATTTATTTTTCAAAATTTTTATTAGTTAAAATTAAATTTCATCTCTAAGAATATTCGAAATTAACTCGAAGTAAACTCTTATACATATATAAATTATTATGGATGAATTATTCAACTATTTATTCATATATCAAACTCTTGATGATTAGTTCTAAGTATGAAAAATATCATTTTGTTTCTATTTCAAAAACTTCTAATATGTTATTTTTCTATATTATAAGAGTTTAGGATTGAAATAACTTGTCAGCAGCCTTTTATAGTGACTATGATTGAACTCCATGTATAATAAATGTGTACAGAGTTCTATAACCGTCGTAGATTATCGTGTACGATGGACGTATGTTCAGTTTTTGAGAATTGTAATGCATCGTGTTCGCTTGATTTTTCTTTTACCTTTGTCCATGTATCTCTCCTTACTTTATTTTTCATGTCAACCCACATATATCGTACGAGTTCAACGACACGCATACCCCAAACATTGAAAATATTCAATGTGTCTATTTTGGTGAAGTCTCTAAATCGATTATTCATTACCATTTCATATGGCTAACTGGAACGTATAACACGTCATTTATTACGCATGTTGTAGCAACTGATAGCCGATTGTATAAACATCAATAGAATAGAAATGTCACGTGTCTGGTAAGAAAGATGGATGGCATTCTTTACTGTAAATCGGATCAAACCAACGGCGTAGATAAAAGAAACGGTTGACGATATTCTTTTACATGCAGAATCATTGACAAAAAGTGACATCTATCATGAAAACTTCATCATATTCGAATTCTCAAATTATTTTTAATAGATGATTGTTATATATAAAATAGACAGAACTGAATTTATGATTATTTACTGAGTAACCCAATGAAAATGATATTGTCAACATCATCATGACTCATCTCGTGATAGAACAGAACAGATAATTCTCTTCATTGATTTTCTTAGTTTGTTCTGTTATTCTTGTCTTAAGATGGACAATAATTGTTTTCTCTGTCTTTTCCGAAAAACTCAATGTAATATATCTAATCAGTCTGAAGCTGAAGGACATCAAGAAGAACAAAAAACAAAAAAACAAACCAACTAGAGAGTTCTATACATAACTTTTCTACTTTTAGACACTGCGTTTAAAAAAAAAACAACGTTTACCAGCATGGCAGACTATAATAATTGCATATACAACTTTACTAGATTGTTTTTTATAATCAGCTTAATATTTATTTCAGTTAGTATTGTATTTGTTGTTACATCTGAACAAGTATTTTATATCTCTTACATGTATCATTAATCTAATTAATGAAAAGTATTTGAATATAATCTTGATTATACAGATATAAACTGTAATACATATAACATCTGTCGATGTTTTCCAAAGAAAATAATTATACTAGTATCTTATGTACATGTACTAAAACTTTTACATTAAGTAAACTATTTCCTATTAGTAAATTTTGTTGATTTAAAAAAATTTGTTTTGTGCGTATTTTAGGATGAAGTTTAATAAATTATTATCAAAATCATCATCATTATGTTAAATCTCGTGATGACAATCAATTATTAGATAAAACAAATCGAGTTACCCATATCAAAAACTAATTAATAGTAGTGATATGAATTTCATATCATATGAAACAACTGCTAATTTTAAATTTAATGGTTATCAAAATGAAGATTTTATTGTATGCATACGAAATATTGCAACACCTAACATTTAGAAAGTTATTTTCTAATGATTTATCCACAAGCAACTTATGCTTTGACAATAATATATAGTAAAGTTTTTATTTGTTATTAAAATTTTTGCTTTTAAAGTTTATCCAGTAAGGGTTTGTACTAGAAAAAAAAGAACAATTTATAATGAATGAGAGGAAAAAATCCATTTCTTGATTGGATTTTACATTGTTCTTGGAATTATTTGTACGATTACATTTGTGATGCTTTTTATTCTTATATAAAACATGGAAAATATAAGAGCTATTGAGTATTCCTTATTAAGCACTACCTTCATTTCTTTTGTTCTATAGAAAGTACGAATTAGTCATATGAAATGTTAAACATTGATGATAAAATTCTGTCGAAGATAAAATATCAATTTCATTTTTTAACTTATCTCTAACTTTGTATGACCATGCAAACAATTCGATCACAGTGATTTGAAGGTTTTTTTTATTGTAGAATTCTCATTGTTTCGATGTGATAAACTAGCTCTTTCGTTAGAGTGTTACAATTTTTTTTTAGTGAAAAATCTATCAGAGAGTTTAATATGAATTGTTAAAAAAAAAATTTTTGTTCAGCGAACATTTCATCAATTTGTATATTCTAGCTACAATTCGATTAGTTTACCCTAATTGAACATTGTAAATGTCAAATCAATAGATAAGAGACTATTCTTAATATACAGTGTTGAATCATTTTTCCATAAAATAATAGATATCGCTTGATATTGAATATTTCAACTGTTTATATGAGTAATGATTCAGAAAATATTTCAATCGATTTCGATTATTGTAATGTAAAATATCTTCATCGTTTCTTTTTTTACGAATAAATCCTTATTGATGAATGTCAATATGTTATTTCTTATGTTTATACTATTTCAAATTAGATAGACATTGTCAGTCAATAAAGTGTCATTTCAAATAATAACTTAAGTAATTGAATTCCGTAGAAATATATTATATTATGAATAATTCTTTTTCGACATATAAATTAACATTCTTCGAGATACACAAGTTATAAAAATGTTCTATCTATGCTAACAAAGACTTGACCTCTTATCATTCGCATATCTTTTTATAGTTCAAACAGATGATACTTTCTTTTTTTTTTCTTCTTTCAATTCTGTCTTTGTACTTTGCCCAGTAAATCTCAAATATTGACTAAATCATTTAGTTTTCTAATAGAAACAAAACCGAAATAAAACTATTAGTTTTTGTAAAATAGGTAAATTATACATAGGGAAAATATATCAAGATGTTGTGTGTGTTTTTATTTTTTTTTGTTTTGAGTAGAACTCAATAAGATGCATATTCGTGTTACCTTTGTCGATGTCATTCATATACTTAATAGATATCATATTTTTTCATGTCACAAGGGAGATAAATTTTTATTATCAATGTTCTAAGATCAGTACATCAGCTTAAAGGAAATTGTCTTTTTCTTTTTTTCAAATTTTTTTTGTATTTATAGGAAAAAGTAAAATAATTATCATCTATTAAAAGTAATTTAGTGTTGATTGATTAATATATTCGATGAGTTCAATAGTAAATCTAGCAATGAGAAATTAGCCCGAAGACAGTTGATCTTTCATTTCTATTTGCTATACTTTACTCCGTTCTTCCTTGTTTGTTGTGTCTTTCTTATCGATGATTATTCTTATCTTTTTTTTTTTTCATTTAGGCAAAACTAACCTTCAATGTAAACCAATCAAATAAAAAAAAAGAAGAAAATATTTTGAGGAATATTAGTATACTTTTATCAATCTTTATGCATATGTTGTCGTGGTTTCTCGTATATAGATGAAAACAAATAGTTTTATAATATAATTTGTTTAGACATAAATGACATATTTTTTTGTTGTTGGTTTCAGATTGTATAATATTACAAACATCAGTCGATATGTCATTGGAAGAAGCAACACCAAGGTGAGAAAAATAACTGTTGAACATAAATTAAAAAAAAAAAAAAAAACAACGGAAAATGTTATCTTTTCTTCTTGAGTGGTATGACCAGAATCATACGATATTTAGTTTATTGAAGAATAAAAAAAAGGACAAGTTTTAATAACAGCGTTTTTGTTTTCTATAATACAGTACTAAAGTGTTATCAAATATGAAAAGATTTGTTCATCGTCGAATGCGTTCTATGCCTTCATTGGATGATATTTTGGCTAAGAGTAAACAGCTGCTCAGGTACAATTGCTGCTCATGAATTTATTAAATTAAAAGAAAAAAAGAAAAATTATTTTTCTTAACAAAATATAAAGATGTAAAAAATAAAAATTCTTAATTTTTTTAATAGCTCATCACCAGATAACTCAGCAATACCTCCAAGTCCAATAGAAGATTCTGATCAAGTGATATTAACATCTATATCATTACCTCCAGATCTCCAACGAACAAAAAGTTTATCATCAGATACAATCGATATATTAAATGAAAAATCTTCCAATGTTCAAACAGCTTCAAATGTACAACATCTTTCAAATTCTGAATCATCTTATAGAACAAAATTTGTTGTAACATCACCATCGAATTCAGATTTATCATCAGAACAAAATGATTCATTAGATCAATTAAATTCATCATCATTATCATTTCTACAAACAAAACATCGTCGAATAGATCATAGAAGAAATAAAAGTGAACCAATTAAATCTGCAAGTACAGAAAATATATCATCAACAACAGCACTTGAATTATCTTCAACAAGTACAACAAGTAATGAATCCCCATTAAGTAATAATGCAAAAAATCAAAATCGAAGAAAATCATCAACAAAAATCAATTCAAATAATATTTCATCAATAAAAACTATTAAATCAATAACACAAGAAAAATCTTCTTCATCATCAACAACAACGGCAAGAAAAAAGAAACCATGGTATAATGTAAGTATAGTTTACTTCTTCTTTTTTTTTTTTTATTATTTTGACTGTTTTTTATGATCATACGATCGTCAAACCTGTTATTTATTAGCTATCTCTATGCAATACATCTATTGTCTATTTTCTTTCTTTTCAACGCTTCAATGAGTCAATCATTGTATGAAGTAATGAAATCGTTTATGATATTTTTCTTTTTCTTTCTTCTATTTTTCTCCTGCACAATATTACATTTTAAAAGAAGACATATTGAAGAAAAAGAAAGAACGAGGTTAATGTTAGATGGACTTGTGTCGAAACTAAAAAGAGAAGTCGACCGAGAAAGAGAAAATAAAGTAACTAACGAAAAGAGATAGAGAGAGAGAGAAAATTGCGATATACACTAAAATCTATCATTACAAAAATCACATTATCGATCGTCATTTTTTTTCTAATTAATCATGATAATTATGTGTTACTCGTTTGATGATTTATCAAGTTATTTTGCATTAAAATATATCTAATCAATAATTAGATAAAATCCAATATAAAATGGATACAGTTCGATTATTTTTTAATACAAAAAGTTTTCGACGATCAAATCGAAAACTAAGTTTAAGTGGAAAATATTCTCAAACAATATTAAAACCTGATGAAGTAAATAGTTCAAATAATAATCTTTCAATGGATACTGAAGATAATCAAAGTTCATCAAGTGATAAAATATGTTCTGAAACAATAAAATCATTTTTATCAACACATCCATCATCAACTTCAACTCTTTCAAATTCTCCATTAGTTCATTGTGAACTTGAAACATGTTCAGGATTGGCAATATCATCATTATCAGATCATACAAATAATACATTAGTAGCACCTAATGTTTTTGAATTAGTATCAAATGCACGTACATTTACAAATATTTATCCATTAAAACGTCGTCGATCTTTAAAATTCAATAATAATAATAATAAACGAAGACAACGACTACGTTCATCAGGTCCTGAACGAAATATTCATTGTACATCTCCATTATTATTTTCACCACTTAAACGTTCACAATCTAATCGATATCCCGATAGAATAAGAAAACATTCAATGAAAATGAAACCCACAACAGAACCACTAAAACGACATCAAACTAAAGTAACTAATTAAAATCAGATATATTTTAAACTAACATTATCAAGCGAATTATTCTTCTATTTGCTTTTCTACACAAGCATATTGAATAACTATTGCTTTTGGTACTTGTATATATATGGGCTATACTTATCTATTAACACTAAATAAAAACAAACAAAAAAAAACCATAGGGATCGGTGCATTGCTCATTTTATTTATATATGCTTTTATTAGTTTATTGGGTTTTTTTTGTTTTTGAAAGAATTTAATTTTAATTTAGCCATTTCAATCAACATATCGTCAACGAAATGATGAATTTCGAAAGATTTTTAAAGAATTACCAAACGATGAACGATTAATTGTTGGTAAGAAATAAATATTAAAAAAAAAAAAATTTCTTTTTTTTCTAAATCAAAATATTCTTTTAGATTATTCATGTGCATGGCAAAAAGATATATTAGTTCATGGTCGAATGTATATATCTCAAAATTATTTATGTTTTTATGCTAATATTCTTAATTGGAAATCAAGTTTATGTTTAAAATTTCAAGATATTGTTGGTATAACACGTGAAAAAACAGCAAAAGTTATTCCAAATGCTATTGAAATTAAATCAACTAAATTTGAAAAATATTTTTTTGCAAGTTTTGTAGCACGTGATAAAGCTCATGCATTCCTAGATAAAATATGGCAAAATGCAATAAATGAACAAGTAATTTTCCTTGTTTTTTTTTCTTTTAAATAAAACATATATATATATATATTTTTAATTATAGCCAATATCTCCTACAGAATTATGGATGATGATTCATGAAAGTTATGGTGACGATTTAGATATGACAACTGATGAAGAAGATCCATATAATAAATCATCATTAAATTTAACATCGAATAAAAAATCATTAAAAGAACCAATACAATCGATTGATAAATATGATGTAAGTATAATTTTTTTTGTTTTTGTTTTGAACTAAATCTATAAGATTTGGCTATTCGATATTGAATTTAGTTATCAAATATTGTTTTGGTAAGTTAGATCTTATGCATGATATGTTATCTTGGACAATTGTATTGTAAAGCAAACAAAAAAAAAATAAAAAAAGAACATCTATTATCACTTTCAAAAAAGAATGGACTTAGTTATTTGTTATATAACTCGGCAATGCTGATAGCTATCGATCTCAAATTTTCGTCGTTAGAAAGCGCATGAATGGGGATACAAGTCTATCTATGAATTAAAGTACTTGAAAAGTTTTCTAGGGCTTGTTTTTTGGAAAATGACTGTCTGATTAGCTGTATTTTCAATGTCAATTTAGCCATATTGTAGGCCAATGTCTACTTTATAAACCCCGAAATTCTTAGACGTTTTCGACTTTTTCCTAGGTATTTACCGGAAAATAAAATTACAAAATTTCGTCCTGAAAACTTGCTCATAGAATATTCTAAAAGTTTTAACCAAAAAGGATATTCCTTTCTCGAGATATTGTACTTTCAGTTTCACTTGAACATACATCTAATCAAGTGAATCAGACAGTGACTTTCCGAAAAAAACCCTAGAAAACTTTTCAAGTATTTTGATTCATAGGTAGACTTGTACCTCCACTTATGCTCTTTCTCACAACGAAAATCCGAGCTCCACGGTTATCAGTGTTGCCAAGTTATTCAACAAACAACTGAATCCATTCTTTTTTTGAAATGGATAATAGTTAATTTAATGAAGAGTATCAATCAGACATGGACAAGTCAAGTTATTATTGAAAGAATTTGACTAAATATTAGAAAATAAATCATTTTCAATGCAAAAACAAAAATGTATATATAATTGAGCGACTTATCTATTGTTTTCTGATTAATTAATCTCTTATTTGGTCAAAAAAATTAAGATAAGAAAAATGAGTAAGAGAAATAATTTGAGGATGTCGGTTGTGTCCGTTGTTCATTCACATCCTACTTGAACATATTTGATTTTGACAACGCTATTCAATTCAAATCTTGTTTACACGTTTGACAGCATATCAAAAAGTCAATCAGTTCAACACCTTTTTTTTGGTTTCATTCTATAGTCGTAAATGAAGCGTGTCGGACAAGTGACGACACGATTAGCAAGTATATGATTAACGCGATGTTTATATCATAGAATAGCTTGTTTATTTGAATTGAAGACAATCATCGTACATAATGAAAAAATTGAAAAATCGAAATTTAGAAGGTTTGGCAACCCTACGTACTATACATATAATAATGTCTTATACTTAAATTTTAGTCAAATACTCAAAAAAAATCAGAAAATCGGAAAAAAAAGCTTAAACGTCGTAATTATTCCTGTCATATCGAAAGATCTGGTATTCCTGGATGCAAGTATTATATAGTCTGAAACTGAATTGTTATTCTCATTGAAAGATAATTAGGGCCGATTTTGAAAATGAATAAAATCGATAGAGATCCAATTCCAAAACAATTATAATGAGAATTGCAGATTGTTGCATTGAAAGTAAAACATTTCAAGAAAAAAAAAACAAACAAATCTTTGTTCATTTCAATATGACTCTATCCAAGAACTTTCTATATTCTCTAGCAATCTCCATAAGTGTTTTTTTCATAGAGTTGCACTCAGATTCTTCTCGTTTCTGTTGTATTGTTCAATGTTTTAAGGGTGAAATCTTCACATAAATTGATTTATCTCTGATAGAAAAAGAAAATATTGAATTATAAAACAGAAAAAGCTTGAAGAAAATGACTTGTCCATTACTGATATTAACTGTTCAGTTTTTTTTTTTTTTTTTTTTGTCATTCTTGTATGTTATGAGACACATAATGACTATGATCATGAAGAATGTCAACATCAATATCGTCGTTTTTTTTTGAAAAGGCTGCTTGTTTTTTTGTTTGTAAAGATGAAAAAAAAAGAAAAATTTTTTTTTTATTAAAATAAATATTTGAAGAAAATTTTTCTTTTTCTTTGTTCTATAGCGTATAACAACAAATTCAATACAATTAAAATCTTCCCAACAAGAAGATGATCGTTCAAGTGGTTCATCACATGGTGAACATCCTACAGATGATGATGGTATAATTCCAATTGGAGAAGAATCAACAACAAATACAATTTTACGTCAACCTCAATCAAATATAATCAAACAAAATATGAATATAATTTCTGGTTGGTTTTAAAAATTTTTTTAAAATAAATAATTTCTTCAATTTCTATAGAAAATCAAGGAATATCTTACTTAAAACAATGTCCATGTCAATCACATTTAGCAACTGAATTAGTTAATCGAACATATACCATGTCAGTCGAACGTCTTTTTGATTTTATATTTGGCAATAATGATTTTCTTCATGCTTATCGTGCAGCACGTCGTATTAAAGGTTCTTTCAAAATTGTTGCCTTTTTTTCTTTTCTATCACTTTTCTTGGATTTTTTTTTCTCTTTCTCATCCTTCTAGATTTTCAAGCTAGTGAATGGGAGATTAATAGTGAAACAGGAAAACGCGAACGTCTCTGTACTTATAGGGTCATTGTTTCGGCTGTTATTGGATCGACAACAGTTTGTTCAAATGAAAGACAAGTAAAAATTAGAAAAAAAAAAGAATTTTTTTCTTTTATAAATTATTTGATAAATAGATAATTGATTGTGAATTATCAAAATCACATTATATATTAGATGCAGAAATACGAAATGAAGGAATTAAATATGCAGATGCATTTTTTGTTGCATGTCGTTATTGTCTTGTACAAATTGGACCAAATAAAGCACATTTAAAGATTACTGGTGAAGTTAGATATGTTAAAAGTTTAATGGCTATCATTAAAAGTAAGTTGTTTATATCAACTTTTTCTTTTTTTTTTCTTTTGTATTAAAATATTTCAATTGGAAGTTATATTAACTGACTGTGATCACGCCATCCCCTCACAACAACGAGTCACACATTACCTTTAGTATTCTGCCATTTTTTTTTCTTTCTGTTTTGTGAGACAAATACAGAACATTAGCTGTTCTTTTTCTTGTTCTGTCATTGAAAGAATCGTGTGTTGATGGTCTCATATTGGGGAGTGGTCGTATAATAAAAAGAAAAAAAAAAAAGAAAGTCAATCAAAATAGAATAGCATTCATTCATTTCTAAAACATATCTTATAAATGAAGAAATTGAAAATAAAATCATCTATTTCCCGTTTTATTAAATGTCATATTTTATGTGCTCGTTCAGCCTTCATCGAAAAAAATGCCATGGCTGCTCTTCAAGATTCATTTACTGATTTAAGTAAGTTTTATCTTTCATAATTATATTCTGCTGCTTATTGCTTCAGTCTTTGGCTTTGTGTTTTAAATTTAATTTTTTTTTTGTTTTTATAAAAGATAATCGAATTGAATTATCGACATTGTCAGGTGTGCTTTGTGATCGTGGTTTGTCAAAATTTGTTTTTCTATTATAAATAATGATAGATAAAAATAATAGATTTTTTTTGTTTGATTTAGTGAAACGCATAGATCAAGAATCTTCCAAACGATCACGAAGTTTTAGTACTAGTAAAAATATTGAAAAAGAAAATGCAATAGTATCAAATACAAGAACATTACAACAACAAGAATCAGATGAATTAACTTCTTCTGTAAATGATTTATCCATAAATTCACAACAGGAAGAATCAATTCAAGATGAAATCAGTAAATTTATTGTTTTTGAAATTAAATAATTAAATTTAAAAAAACAAAAATTTCTTTTTTATTTAGGCTCAGATCTTTCTGTACCAGACCGATTGTTTTTCTCTAAAAATGCATTTTTACTATCATTTTGTATATTAACGTAAATATTTACATTGAAAAAAAAAACTAATATTATGTTTTTTTCTATTTGTTTAACTTTATAGAATGTTTATTCTTCTTGTCGTGAATATATTTTTATGCGTAAAATTAAATCGTATTGATAATATGACAGAACATTTAATACAAATACATCCAACATGGTTACATAGATATACGTATGAAAAATATTTTATTTTTGATTTAATTTCGAATAAAATTATTCTTTTTAATTAATTAGACAGCAACAAGAAGAAAATGAATGGTCATCATTATTAAAAAGACAAGAAGAATATTATCAAAGTCAAATAAATAATCTTCAATCTGTTTTAGTAACAACTCATAATGCTTTAAAAAACGTTCGTATTTATATTTTTTTATTGTTTTAATTTTAATTTTATGTTTCAATAGGTAACTAATGCATTACATGAATTATCGAAATTGAGCAGTAGATCAAATTGAAATGTATCTATTAATCATATAATAGTTCCATAAGTGTGTTTTATACCGGTGTTTCACGTCTGTTTTTATTTTTATTGTATATTTATTCATTAGGAACAATGTGATTTTGTTTTTTTTTTTATTAAATGTTTGATCAAATGTAAAAAAAAGAAATTTTATTTGTTTTTTTTTGTGGTTATAATATTAAAAATGTTTAAATATGTAATACTTCTATTGTCATTAATGAACAAATAATAATAAAATTCATTAAAAAAAGACAAGAATCTTGATTTTACTTTTTTTTTATTTTTTTGTTGAGATGGGTCGAAAATATTATTGTGATTATTGTGATAAAAGATTACCAGCTGGTTTAAATCATCGAAAAAGTCATAATCAAGGAATTCAACATATTAATAATAAACGAATTTATTATCTTCAATTTCAAGGTTTTAATTGTTTGCTTTGATATTTATGAAGCAAAAAAGAAAATAATAATAAACTTATTTGATTTAGATCCTGTTGAAATATTATTGAATGAACGAACAAAAAAAATTTGTAATAAATGGAATCAAAGTCATTCATGTCCTTTTGGTGATAATTGTAAATATTCACATCGATCGAATTATGAACTTATTCAATTAATTGAACAAGCAAAACAAAGTAGGCTTTTTTTTCTTTTAAAAAAACAGAAATTTTTTTTTTTTTGTTTAAAATTAGATTTAAATAATCAATTAAATTTTGATATTCATCGATGGATACAAAAGAAATTACCAAGTGAAATTCTCTTGCCTGAATCTCTTGCTTCATAATTTATAAATAGATATAAAGATCACGACAGGATGTTATATATTAGTAAAATCCTCTGGGAATAACCTGTTTTTTGGTACTCATTTTCTTGAATAAACAAATATATTACTTTGACTCCTACGCAGAGTTGCACGAAAAAGAATATTTATTTCCACTCGTCTTCGATTGATGAAACATATTCGATTAACTCTACAGAAGAGATTAGAATTTCTTTCAATAGCACGTTATCTATGTTATTAATAATGATTTATTACAAATTCCCAATAGTCTATATTTAAGCAATTATACAGTTTAATGTCTGATATACTACGTCGACTTATACCAAAACAAATCTATTATTACATTCTTTCAAGATGATTATTTTGTTCTTAGAAAATTTTAAGGACAGAAAAAAAAAGAAACTTTTTTATATTTATACTAAACTATGTATTCAAGTATCGATAATCTATGACTCGGATGGAGATGATTGTTCAATATAATTTTTTGTATAAAATATATTTAAAATTGATTTGATGATAGAAGAATTGTGAATAATAAACAAAATGATTGATAGATAAGTTGTTTCAAACTATAACAAATATTGATTATTATTAAAAAAAAAAGCAAAGCAATTGTTAGATGAATGAATATATATTTTTTCATTTATTTGTCATTGACATAGAAAAGATTTTAAAGTCATAGCTAAAACAGTTGTTCTATTATAAAAATGAACTGTAAAAGATAGATGATGGTTATACAAATTCTTGTAAAAGAATACAATTTTCTTGTTGTTGAGCAAACGACTTAAGATTTCTCAAAAATTGATCTTAGGTCAAGTACATTCATTTTTAGAATGTGTTAGGACTGTAATGGAGAGATTATGTCAAAATGTTGAGCCCTATACTATCACATTTTCTGGAGATACTCAATAAATAAGGTTCAACAATAGCTCATTTGGGAGCATGACAGAACTCTTTCTATTTAAATTCTTAAAACAATGAAAAGCCTAATATCTTAAAATCTTTCTAAAAATGATGTTCTAATTATAAAACTACTCTTTTATAAAATAGTAACGACGTTGAATTTAGACAAGGGGCTCCATCATGCCCTACATCGTGGCATGAGTTTTCAAACAATTCCTTCGACAGAAACTGAGCTGTCCGAAAAAGATTGTTCTACTTTGAGAATGATATTTCAGTAACATAATAAAAGTTTTTTTCCACTAGAATGTGGCTTTCTCAAAAGTAAAACAAAAATTCTACAGACAGATTGACGAATATTTTCAACGTTTGTCAGATTCGAACTTTGTCAACTTCTAGTTTTTACTCTTTAACCTTTTTCAAAATAGATAACTTGTATTATTGATATAAGTAACTCTTGTTGATAAGTTTTACTATTATTAGAATGATTAAAATGAATCATTTTTTTTTATTATCTTGTAATATAAAATCAATTCTGTTCTATGTCAAATATTTAATAGATAACAAAAACTAGGTTTACATGTTTGACAAAACTTTTTATTTATCTCGATTTAAAAAAAAAGAACAGGACCTAGATAAAACTTCTCTTCAATTGATGACTTATATCATAGCGATAAAACAGGAATATAACATCTATCAATTTTTCGTCTGCATAATAAATATGCTTTCAACGAAAAAAAACATCATTCGATACTTTGTCATATCACAATAACAAATAATAATCATTATTTCTCAATGAAAAAAACACTTTTATTGATGCGTTTTTAATTAATTTTAATGAAAATAAACCTTGAATTGGTTGAGATATATAACTAAATTTTTTCATATGATCAATAACATAAAATCGAATTGGTCATGGACTATAAACTTTACTAAATGGATTATTTTCTGATACTGGATCAATTAATAATGGTATTCGATGTTCTGTTGCTTTTATAAAATCATCTGTGATACGAATTCTATGAGCATTACATTTTTGGTTAAATATAACATATTCGACTACCAATTGGCCTATTTTATTTAATTTTATTATAATTTCAAAAGAAAAACTTTTCTAATTAACTTACCATTCATCAAGTGCATATGCTTCTTCAATATAAATAGTAATCATATCAACACGATCAAGTATATGAACCAGCTATGATTAATAATGGTCGATTAGGATGAGAATGAGATAATAATGAAACAAATTGACCATTCATATTTAATAATTGAATATCAACTGCTAGATCATCAATGTTAAGATTTCCTTGTTTTGCATGATTATGTCGAACATAAAACGTAGGTAAAGTTAGCACCATATTCGAGTTTTTCTCATCCGGATTCGTTTTACGATTTGAGTTGATTTCCTAATTGCTTGGGTTAGGTGCAGAATTTAATTCTGCATCCAATGGTTACCATTTTCATCTGAGGTCATCGAAAAATAAACCCAATTTGTATCCCAAATACTGCTTTTTCAAGGTTTTTTTGTCAAAAATATTTCCTTTCCAGAATCGCTCAATGACTTGAGTTGAGTTGGATGCAGAATTGAATTTTGCATCGAATGGTACTACTTTCCACTAGGATCATCGAGCAAAAAAAAGAGCGTGAAGAATCATAGTCTCCTGTTCGCATTTACCCTCACCATTTATTTTTGCCCGATGACCCTAGTTGAAAATAGTACCATTCGATGCAAAATTCAATTCTGCATCCAACTCAACTGATTAGACACTCAACTCAAGTCGTAAAACGAATTCGGATGAGAAAAACTCGAATGTGGTGCTAACACTATGAAGAAACGTGACTTCGCTAACGACGCAGATGGCATGTCATGAGTCGTGATCAATTTCTTTATGATAGAAATCATTCGCTATCTCTGTACTCAAGAATAGATATTTCTTGTTTGAATTTTTTTAAAACTGTTTATACATATTCAAATTCACTTAACCAATCGAAGATCAGTTTGCCTAACTGAATATCAAATGAGTAGTCATCTTTGAAACTATGGATGTTTGTAAATTGTTCTCTCAATGATCATACGACACAAACTAGTTGTAAATTATATTATATTAAAAGTAATATGAGAATAATATTAATTTTTTCTTAAATGTACAGATATTAATAGATTTGCTAAAATCTAAGTTCAATAAGAATGATCATATCTTACTTAACTATTTATTAACACATTCGACGCGATTTTAACTCATAGATGGGCGATGTGACTCACTGATAGATCACATCGCTCTAAATTTGTTTGAAACTGTCTCACGTCACCGTTAGATAGCCCTCAGCTTGGAGTGTATCTTCTATAAAAATCAGCTTCTTAGATTCATGTATCGAATTTTAGCAATCTTTCTTGTCAAAATTATCCGCTTTTTTGAGGTTAAAGCCATGTGTACCTTAATTTATTTCTTTTCTTACATGAATTCTTTTTTAATGTATATTATCCGCTAGAAAAAAGAATGCAATACACGATGAAGTACTTTTCATCGTAAAAACATCTGGAAAAAGGCCTGAATTTTAGGGCGTGCGCATGCACTAGTGCAGATCTTTAGTAAACCTCGTTTTTCTCCATCATAAAAAGATTGAAATTAACTTTTAAATATATCATTGGAAAGAGTGTTTAAAATTGCACAAGATAGACTGCTGAATTAGTTTTTAGGAACAATGTGTTAAATTGAAGACAATTTAGTCTCATAGATTGGCCCTAATGAGATCTATCAGTGGGTCTCATCGTTGCGAATGTGTTAAATACGTTACAATATATATATGAGAACTATTTTGATAAATTTATGGAACAGATTAAGATTATGATAGTCAAAGAAAATTGAAAAATCTTTATTCAATATATATGCCCTATCGAATAGTACACCGATTGAAGAAGTTACGATTTCAACAAAGATTTTTTTACATCAACTCATTACCAAATAGTTATCAATTAATTGATAATATTGTAATCAAACCATACATTCATATATAAGCGTTTATTGTAAGAATGTAGATACGAGTTTTTATAATGAAAATATATTTACAAACATTATTCAGATAAATTACAATCACATTTTCCTATGCTTTACACCATTGTTGATCTATTCGTATGGTACCAATTTCTGGAGTTAATGAAATAAATCTTTATATTACCATGATACCATTTAAACAATAGTTGAAAATTGTATTAATAGGAAAAGTAACTCAAACATGAAAAAGTTAAATGCAAATTAAATTTAGACTAATATAGAGTCAAAGAAGAGACTTCATTTGACTAGATTTTATAATACTTATCGCGTTCCATTGTTAACTATGTCTGAATCCGCTATAAATTATCCTAGTAAAGTTCAGTTTAAATAGAACACATACGACTTCATAAGAGTAGTAGTATTAAACAAAAAGACACCAGTGACTGATGACTTCAGAATCCGTTTGGTGAAGTGCCATCAATATATATATATATATTTTTGGAATTTTTTCAATTTATTGAAGGTCTTGATTTTGTCTTCTGAAGTTAATAATACATCTGGATTCTATTAGAAGAAAGTCATAGCATGAAAGAGTTATTAGACATCCTCAGTTAGCTCTTTTCAATCATGCTTCTTCTTTTCTATCAAAATCCACTAGTTATTCAGTTAATTCACATTACCAGTTTTGTCGTTTTATGTCAAAATAAATACGTAGATGCATAGTAAAACTCCATGAAATCTCGAAATAAAATAAGTCATTGGTTTTGTCTAAATATTTGCTGAAGTACTGTTTTAAAACAAGCTATCGAATTCTAAAGATTTATGTCATTAGCTAGAGAACGTGTCATCATATGATTAGGTCAACAATCAAGCAGAACGTTAAAAAAATGTCATTATGATTTATCTGAATAATTTTTTCAATATATTGCCATCATAAACATTCATATGTACGTTCTTTGAATCATTGATCACCTATTCGAAACTTTTTTTTTATTTAAACTTTCATAGGTTAAAAAAAAAATTTATTATTTTTATTATTATTATTTTATGTCCTATTACTATTTTTCATGTACTCGTATAACACGATATATCAATAAAAATTTTTTC